CTTGGTGACTATTACTGATTTGTTCTTATGTTAATATCTAAGTCAAGCTTTCATTGTCTTTTAAGAAAAAAAAAGACATTACCTAGGAATTTTAAATTGTTTTGCTTCTTTTGTTTCTACAAAGGAATGAAGAAATGATGGGAAGATCTTCCTTTCCCATGCAATTTTTTCCAATTAATAATACTGCTTTACCTCAAGAATATGTTTTCTTTCAGAAGATGGTAAGTTTGATGGATATTTTGCTCAGTGTATTCTATTCAAATTCAAACGCTGAAGGCCCTGTAACTTGTTCTTAACAACTGATAATCAAATTTAAACATAGAAAGGGCTCCCAAATCTTTCCACTCTAACAATAAATGCCTCAACAAAAATGGAGTAGAGAGGAGTAATGTTACAATTGTCCAAGTGAAATGCGAGTACTTAGTTCTTAATAAATATTTTAAAACATATTCTTAGGATGAAATAATTGCACTTAGTGTGAAGGATTTTTCTTTTGATTTGAATTTTGTCAGTTCTTGGGTCTGAACTCTGGTATGCTTCATGTCAAGTCAATGAGCTAAGCCCATGGTCTATAGCCCTGATTTATGGTATTTATTTAATTACTGGTTTATTTAATTTTGTATTATTTTTAGGGCTTGAACTCTGGGTCTGGGTCCCTTAGCTTTCCCAGTCTAAGTAGACACTCTACCACTTATGCCATAATTCCACTTCTGGCATTTTGTGAAATAATGGAGATAAAAGTCTCATAGACATTCTTGCCAAGACTTCTTTTGAACAACAATCTGATCTCTGCCTCCAGAATAGCTAGGATTACAAGTGTGAGCCACTGGCACCTGGCTCTTCCTATGATTATTTTTTTATTTATTTAGCATTTAACGATGGTATACTAGGCACTATCCTAGATTTTTTTTATTAATAAGCTTTTTTTATCGTGAAAATATGGTACAGAAGGGTTACAATTACATGAGCCAAGGTAACAGGTACATTTCTTATCAAGCATTGTTGCCTCCTCCTTTGTTTTTCCCCTACCATCCCTGCCCTCCCATCTCCATGATTACACTCCCTCCAACCCTTACCTCCACCTCCGTCCCCCCTCCCCCACCTATAGTTGTAAAGTTCGTTTTTCTACACAACGTCTTGTAAATCTCATTGTTGCAATAGGTCCACCTGTATCCTTATTTAAACAATTTGTTTTTTCCCTTCCCCTCCACAAATTATACCAACATCAAATACAGTGAAAATAGGGCTTATAATAACGTAGGGGAGGGACATACAAAGCAACAAAAAAAAATCACCTTATAAATATGTTAGAAACAATAGCAAGAAAGAAAAACCACCTTTCATAAAGATAGGGAAGATTTTAGAGAGCTAGATAATTATATCACTACTAAATATTCTTGTGAGGGTTTTTTTTGTTTAAGTTTTTGTGTTTCAGGTTTTTTGACTTTTGTTTGTTTGTTTTGGGTTTTATACTCAGAGATTCAGGCTTGCTAGTCAGACACAGTGAGAACTTTGCTGAGTCTTAATTATTTTGGGATAAGGGTGTAAGCCCTGGACTTGTCTCTGATAGAAATTTACCTACTCGGAACACTGCAGTAGCTAGGATTTTAGCAGTGTACCACCTCATCTAGAGTTAATTTGTTTTTAAATATGGAAGCCTCTCTCTCTAATTTAAAAATGACAACTGTACTGAAAAAAAATCATAGGCTTTTAGCTCTAGATGCATCTAAAAGGATTTTAGTTCATTTTATTAAAACTTAAAATCAATACTTGGCCAAGTTATTGGAAAATGTTCAAGTATATTTGAAATACCCTGTATATGTGGACAAATGGCTTAGCTACAATTTTCTGAAATCCAAATTTAGATCAAACCTTTTCATTGAACATTTAAAATACAAATTGAGATATTCTGTGAGCAAAAATGCACCTCAATACATAAAATATCTTGTCAATAATTTTATATTGGAAGCATGTCAAATGGCAGTATTTTTGATATATTAGGTTATTTATATAAATTACTTTTGTTTTATTTTTCTATATATCAGGCCATTTAAATACATTATATTTTTTTTTTTTACTTTAGGATATTTAAATACTTTTATACTGTGACTACTACAAGATAGAGCTACATGTGTGGTTTACATTATGTCTCCTGACAGTGTTACTCTGTGTTATAATTAGTCCCAAGTATTACCTCATGTTAACAATTTAATTAAACTCCACATATCTTTTATAAAGTCATTGCGTATCTTATGCCAAATGACAGCATG